GTTTTTTCTGGCCTCTCTCATCCTCCCTCCTTCTGAGTGCTCTGAGCCAGGTGTCAAAATATTCATACCTCAAGACCTGACTTGGCTGTTGTCTTCTCTAAGAAGACTTTCCTGGTCTCTTAGAATGGCTTCTTACCACCTTCGTGTTTTTCTTGCGTCTGCTTAAACCACTCTTACCATACGTCACAACCTGTCCTGACCGTGTTCCCAAGTCCAGGGATGAGCTTTGGTGTGTCTGTCCCCACCCCCAAGGGGGACCCAGAGCGAAGTTCAGCCCATCACCATTTATCAACCTCTCTGCTCTGTTACGATCAAGCGCTAAGTCCCTGCTCCCTCCACCAGGGGGTGCCTAACTTGTTTTGTTTCCCCAGTATGGCTTATCACGCTCTCATGCCCATGGTAGAATCACAATAAAGATTTGGGAGATGCCACAGGTTCTGTCTCAGTGGCCTGTTTCCACGGTCTTTTCCTAGAGGTTTCTAGGGACTGACCCAGATTCAGCTACTGGCGTGGGTGCTTCCCTCTGCGGCTGATCCGTGGCTTCAACACGGCCTCATGTACAGCACTAGTCAGTTGTAACAGTCTTCGAGCCATCTGTGCTGGTGTTGGGTAAAATCTCAAGGAAGGTGAAAGCAAAGACCTGGTCAATGGTTCTTCAGATTCTTCCAGGCTGCTATGGGAGGTGTTTCTACACTGAAGATACTGTCATTGCTCCATCCAGGCCACGTAAGGAGCGGCAGCTCTGAGCCTGGGACTATCTTCCTTTAAATGTTTGGGTATTTTGTCCTTGGATTGATGCTTGCCCTTGTACTTGAATCTTTGAATAAATAAGAATGTAGAGGGGAGAGAGAGAGAGAGAGAGGACAAGAAGCAAGAATGAGATCATCATTTTGTACAGTACATTGTAGCTCAATGAGCCCTCTCCTTCTTCTTCACCATCCTCCTCATTATCCATCAGGAGCCTGGATCCAGTTCTAAGAACCTGGAAAAGGCAACTGTATGCTTACAAAGGGAGGTTGTCTGTACATACTAGGAAACTTCAAAAAGTAGATTTTTTTAAAAAAGTAAAGGATGGCTAGTAGCATTGCTAATTGATCTCAGTTTCTTTAATTTCCTTTGGGCCCCTAACCCAGGGACTAATTTGCATTGATTAGAATAACTCATCACGGGGAAGATGCTATTTAGATTTCTTGGTATCTGGTGCTGACAAAGAATAAAAATTATTTCTCCTGTGAAGTCCTACTGGGAAGAAACCATACTTGGAAAATTGTTAAGATTGCTATTATTTAAATTACTCCTAGAAGTCACTTCAAGGACAATGCCATTGAGCTTTTTCTTTGGATTGCCAGAGATCTGCAGCTTTCACTTTGTTTCACTAAGCAACAACTCCAGGCCAGTGCAGTGTACTAATGCTACACTGTGAGGATTTCATTTTATTTGCAAGGTAATTCTGGAGGTATTGCTGGCCTTTCCCACTCACAGAGAGAGCTGAAGCTTAGAAAGATGAAAGTTTTTCTGCAAGCAACAATTAGCCCTTGACTTTGAGATGACCTGGTGCCAAAACCTTTCACCCACTCTTGGTACTGTGTCATCTCCTTCTCTCTCTCCCCTCCTCTGCCTCTTCTGCTCTTTCTCCTCCTCCTTCTTCTTAGATTTATTTATCTTTATTGAAAAGGCAAATTTTACAGAGAGAAGGAGAGACACAGAGAGAAAGATCTTCCATCCACCAGTTTACTCCTCAAATTGCTGCAATGGCTGGAACTGAGCCAATCTGAAATCAGAAGCCATGAGCTACTTCCAAGTCTCTCATGCAGGTATAGGGGCCCACCCTCTGCTGCCTTCTCCAGGCCACAGACAAGGAGCTGGATGGGAAGTGGAGCAGGGGGACATGAACCGGCACACATAGGCAATGTTAGTCATTGCAGGGGGAAGATTAGCTAAGACATAGTGCGGACCCCTGACCCATCTCGACTAACTGGGCCTATAATATCTTACTCAGGTCCTCAAAGGGATGGTCCCCCCAGTGTAAGTCCATCCAGCATCCACAGTCACACATGCTTTCTCTGCATTTCCTGCCCTCTCTTGGAATCCCCAGGCCCTTTTGGCTCTCTATGGATTTTAGGGGCCAAACATATTTACCTGCTTAAAGCCTGCAGGATGTGACCCTCCATTTGGAAGAGGAGGGAGGGCTGGGATTTGACACTGATTTGTGGTCATAGATTTCCCTGGAGATTCCTCAGTAGTTACATGGATGGTTGATTGTAGGTACTCAGTGCACAAGAGGCACATGGCACGTGTGGTGGTTGCTGGGCACCCATACGACTTGGGCTAACACACATGGCTGGTGATGGGTTCAGCCATGGCTAGGAATGGTGGGGACAATGGTGGATGCATGGGTGTCTGCCAGACAGTAGGGATCCATTTGAACTCTTACATATCATCAATAGAGTCTCAGATGAGAAGCAGAGAAGTGCTGCTGGGATGTGGGTGATGGACTGTGCTCCATTTTCCAAGGAAGAGCAGCATGTGCGAGATCCACCCAGACACAGAGCACAGGCTCTGGAAGGGAAAGCAGGAGTTGTTGAGATGTGCTTACTTGTGCTAATGAACAAAGGCTTAGAAAAGAACCCACATCCCATAAGAAATGAAAACAAGGCTGTTTACACCTCCAAGGGGGCCATCAAATGTGAATTGCATTGCTCAGCGTGGTCCAACTGCATGAGGTTGGCAGAATTGAGCAGAGCTGCTCCAGGCAAAGCATCCTTCCAGACTGACCAGGCGAGGTTCTTAGAGGACCTGCTGCAGCAGCAGTGCCATGTTAGAGGCGGAATCGAGGTCAGCATAGCAGTGTATGTTACTAACAGATCGGGTTGGATAAAACAAGAGACTTTTCTTCTGCTATTTCTGTTATTAATTACCAGGAAGTCCCTACAATAGCTGTGATGTCTCTGTATGATAGTAATGAGCTTCATGTGATTTTTCTCTTTGAGAAATAATTCTTTTTCTGAGCTCTTAATGGTGGCATTATGTATGCTAAAGGACATGATTATCATGCATATGATATTTTGTCTAAAATAAAACTTTTAAAAATTTCCCTTCATTATGAAATTCAAATCATGGAACCTCAAGTTCACCAAAACCCAAGAGGAAGAATAATGCAAAATATTGTAAAATGTAAAATAAAATAAAAAAAGTAAAAATTCAACCCAAAATAACGGCTACTAACAATATGATATGAGTGTATCTTTCCAACTTTTAACACACATACAAGCCTAACTTTTCACTTGAAGATGATCATACTGTAGTGCCATCCCGGAATTCCTGGGAATTACTTTGTTTTGCTTCCCAATACGTCTACCTCCTCATGGCTATCAATATATCTGACCTAACTTATCATTTCAAAGGGTTTCATTGCAGTCCACTGTCTAACTGTGATTTAATTAACCAACCCCCAGGTGAGGATTGATTTAGACTGTTTTCAATTTGGGGTTATTACAGATAATTTTGATTATTATTTCTGACCATCTAGTTCTGGCATAATTGAACAACAATTTCTGAAAGATAAAGTCTTGAATATGGGTTTGCTAGGTCATACAATAGATACCTTGTAAGTTTGGTGAATGTCAAAACACCACACAGAAATTTGTCAACTCACACGATAAATGTGTGACACAGTACTCTTTGCTTAAATTACCACCTCTGGGTATTATCATCTTTGCAAAACTGATAGAGGAAGAGAATTATTTTGATTTTCATTTGTTTAACAGTGACTTGGAGTCTGCTATCATATGCATGTTGCTCACATGTTTTTCTTTCTTAATGAATTCCTTAGGGGAGTGATGCAACAAGGTACCACAAGCTGGGTGGTTTAGAGTAAAACCAGTGTCTTTTTTCACTGTTATGGAAGCTAGAAACCCCAAACCAGCATTTTGGCAGGGTCATGCTCTGGTCATTCCAGTGGAGGATCTTCCTCGTCTCTTGCAGCTTCCGGTGGCCCCAGGTGCCCCTGGCTTGTAGGGCAGCTCCCCACCTCGGCTCCTGTATGTGAAATATTGCCTCTCTTCTTTACGGCGACACCAGTTACACCTGAAGTACCTCGTCTCAGCTTGGTTCCATCTGATGAATGTATTTCCAAGTAAGGTTATACTGACATAAATCAGGGTTGATATCAACACAATTCAACCGGCAACAAATACCCAGCCATTAAAAAACTTTTTTTTTTAAAAATCACAAATACATTACAAATATGGAAAAGACTGGGACTGGGTCATTGTTGTTCCATGTCCCAACCCCCATTACTTAACACAGTGTCTGATAGGTAGTAGGTACTCAAGAGTAACATTTTTTTAAAGATGTATTTACCTTTGTGTTTGTTTGAAAGGCAGAATCACAGAGAGAAGGAGAGACAGAGAGATCTTCTATTTGCTGGTTCACTCCCCAAATGACTGCAGTGGAGCTGGGCTGATCCAAAGCCAGGAGCCAGAAATTTCTTCTGGGTCTCCCTCACGGGTGCAGGGGCACAAGGCCTTGGGCCATCCTTCACTGCTTTCCTAGGCCATTATTGGGAAGCTGAATTGGAGGTGAAACAGCAAGGTCTTGGCTTGGATCTTATATGAGATGCTGGCACTGCAGGCGGGGGCTTAGCCGACTATGTCATACTGACCCCCAAAATAACTTCTTAAAAGAAAGAATTTAAGTTTCAGGGCTATTTGTTGTTTTAGACATTAAAAAATGTGTATAGAAAAACATAAGATGCTAGATTCTTTATTTTAATTTACACTGCGAAATCTGTAATAAAAACACTTGCAAGTAGGAAGGACTGGGTTGCCCCTGAGTGTCTCAGCTTTCTGAAGGGCACATCAACCAAGGTGTGCACTTTAGGTTTCCATGAATTCTACAATGAGTCTTTGAGTCTGTGATGACAAACACTGAGACTGGAAACAAATTTGTTTACCAGAATTACTAGGTTGGATGAAACAGAAACCAAGCTAATAGAATGCTTAAAAATCCAAATTTATTTTATTTTCCTCAAATTGTTAAATATAATTGTCAATTTGTTGCATAATCACAGGAAGCATGGCTTAGCATATGAAATAAAGATCAGATTTGTTCCAGACACTTTGTAAAATTACTTTGAGGATGTACTTCAAGAACTAATTAATTTGCATGAATACAGGACAAACAGCTTCCAAGTTATATCACTACAGAATTTCCATCTAGCCTTAAAAAAAGAGTTCACCTTCTAAAAAGAATATATTTTCTAAAGTTATTTTTTGTTTCAAAAGGCCAGAGCTTTCTCTGGTGGGAACTGATATAACTTTATAATGTCTTCCCCAACATTGAGCTAAATCTAGGATCCCTGCTTTGTCTTACTTCCTGTGGGCATTGTTTCAACCTGGGAGCAAAGGCCACTCTCCCATGCCCTAATGCGCAGTTGCGGAGGTGAGGTACTTTAATTTGAACCAAAGCACCCTTGTGGCCTGGTACTTTATCTGAATTCATACAGTCACAGTCTATATGAACAAAACTGAGCACCAAAGCCATTACCTGGAACTACAGCATGACTTGGCCTTTCCCAAGTCCTCTGGGCTCCCAATGGCACTGGGCTTGACTTATTGCTCTGCTGTAGCTGTCTTGGTTTTCTTGATCATCTGTGAGTGGCTAGTCCCCATTTTTACCTTTTGCACTGGGCTCTGGCAGTTATGCATGCAGCCCCAGCTGGATGTAAGATTCACTTTTGAGCTGATCCTTCTGTGTCATGAACTGCGTTTTCCTTTGGCATAGAAGATGAGAGTTGTGGGCAGTTCTCAACAGCAGGATTACCTTGGCTCTTGAGTGTTTCCCAGAGTGTAGGGCTTGCTGCTCACATAATTCCTCGGGTACAGCAAAGGAAAGAAGTATATAAAGGTGACTTGCTTATGTGCAAACAAGTATAAAGCTGAACTAATTCTGTAATTTGAAATGTGGAAAAGCCAAGTCCAATGTGATATACACACATTTGCAAAAACACCATCAAGAGAGACAGGAGAAAACTGAAAGACCTGTCCATTGGGAGAGCAAATCTGCATGTGTGCCAATGAGCTAAATATGAATACACTTTTTTACAGTTCTTTGATTAAGATCAGTTTTTTGGCAGTTCATATGCAACACAGAATGTATGCAAGAGCTGAGCCTGATTATGCTTCACACGGCTAGCAGAAGCATCCTCTTCTGATCTTTTCAAACACCACTGTTCCTGCTTTCCTTCAGGAGAATGGTAAGAAACAGTTGGTTTAGAAGTGCTGTAAACATCCATCCTCCACGTTGAGGAATAAATGTTTCACTACAGGACCTGGCTCTCCTGATGTGGACAGAGCAGGACTTTAAGAGGATGAGTTGTCAAAGCAGGGGAATGCCTTCTGGATGTCCCTGAGCCACGAAGAGGCTAAATGGGCTAGGAGGCAGAGTCGCTGTGCACTGCAAAGGCCATGCCAGGCATCTAACCCTGGTGATGTTTTAGAATGTTTAGAGAATCTGGAAAAATATGAGGCCTGGGACTCATCCCATACTAACTAAATTATAACTTAGACAAGGATATTTTTAGAAGGTGTCCCTCATGTCTCTTTGCAGCCTTGTTAAGAAGTGTGGTTCATTTGCAGTCATCGGAAGAAGGTTTGAGCTATCTCACAAACAGTATCTATTTTGAAGATGTAAAAATTGGTTATATATTTATATCTGGTTAAACACCATTAGCAGAGATACTCCTGTGTAATGTATTTGTTATAAGCAATCTAAAAAATATTGAATAAATAATTTAATGATTATACTCTAAACAGCACTTCCAATGAATAGCAAGATATTTAAGAGCTGAGAATATTTTTAAAGAAGACATTGAAGTTAGTTTGTGAAATCCCAAAGGATGTGCTAAAGTTCAAAAGTCCTCTAAGCTGAGAAATTAAGAGGATTAGTAGTGTTCTTGCTAACCTGGGATGTTTTTTAGTTATCAGGTATCTCCTGTTAAATCAAGAACCACTGAAGCCAAATTTTAAAACTAAATCATTTGGAAAACGATTTGCATTTTCTAGAATACGCTTTGAATAATATGCTTTTTTAAAAAAAATCTATTAAATATCTTTACAAGTACCAATATTCCAGCAATGTTAGAGTAGAAATTCTCTTTTGAACTCACTGGAGTTCTAGCATAAGGATGTCCTTGAAGATTTCCCAAGTCTGCGGAGAATGGTAGCTGGGGAACAAGGAGGCAGGGAACAAGAGGGAGAGGAAATGCAGAGACAGAGCTTGGGTTAGTACTGTAGCAGGGAAGGCCACACACACACTGGCCAGAGATGACACAAAAGCCCTCATCTCTACTTCTCCTGTTTATAACTGGGGAACCGGAGCAGCAGAGAAGGGCTGAGGTCCAAGGGTCAGATTTTTTCCCTCCTGTGTCTGTGTGACTCAGCTGTACACTGTGCAAGGGTCTAAGTGTAACAGCCACTGGGAAGACCAGCTGGCTTTGCTTCTCAAACATCACGAACACCTGGGGACACTGCGAGGATGTTTAGAAGTGTTGTTTGAGGAATGAGACCAAGGTTATAGTGATTGTATCTTTCGCTGGACAGACCTTGAACACAAGGATAACCAATATTGAGAGAGTAAAGCCAGAGGAGACTAGATATCATCAGATATTCCAAGGAATTTCCAGAAGCACTCAATAATGAGAAAGTCAAACGATCAAGCACAATAAGGAAGTCATTAGTATGCTTAAACTTAGAATGTTCTAGGCATTCTGAGACAAATGAGGGAGTGGGGGAACAACCTGCAAATAAACATAGCCCTAAATATGTTAACCGCATTTTGACCAACTTTTTTCCTCTGCGCAATTTCAGCTAGGAAAAGAGCTGTATTTCTTCAATACCAACTTTCATAGTGTCCTATTGCATTTCAAATCCAAGCTGGATGACTGACAGGATGTTGTAAAGCTGCAGGACACCGATGCATCTGTAATTTGAGCGTAAATTACTAGGCTGAATGCTTCTCTCCTTGCTTGATGCCCAAAACCAGGTGGAGGAACCAGTTAAACTGCACAGTCCATCCTTTGTCTCTGCAAACTTCTATTTGATCAAGAAAATACTTCTTGGCGTCTTCCTCATTTTTTCCCACTGTTAAGGCATCCCGGATGTACTCAATATCTTCTTTACTTGTTAACTGGGGCATTCCCGTCATCAGCATCATGGAGAAGAGCACAACCAACAGGTTTGTGTGATGGCGAAGGGCAAGGTACGCCTTGACACAGACATCCTGGGTGAAGGACAAGAACACACCGTTACTGTCGGTATGACACCACGTAGGCTGGAAGCAATGGGTGATGCTGGAATTTACCTGAGAACTCGTTAATCTGCCATCCCATCATTCTGGTGAGGCTCAGACTTCCTAGGTTAGTTCATGTCTTTCCCAGTTTAACTGCATGCTCTATACCTGCCCGCCCCATTATCCAGATTCTGGCTGGCTGTGCAACTGCTTTGCCTTTTACTTAAATGCAGTGTTAGGGCAACAGTGACCATCATCGATGCACACCTAGCTGTGTGGATTCCTGTCTTGGCTGTATTATTGACCAAAGCTGTGTTCATCAGAGAAGTCATTTGACCTTTGTGCACCTCAGTTTCCTTATCTGTCGAATAACAGTAAGAATAACAATACCCCCTCAAGGTGCCAAATAATTGGCAGGATGTTACCACAAGGGATTGCCTTACTGGACACATACAAATTTCTCACTGCTACAGCAGTCATGTTCCCATGTTGACCAGCTGTCCAAAATGCCTCCTTAGATGGTAAGAGCTGAGGGGTAACATGGGTAGCAGTGGCAGATGAGCCTCCTTGCTGCAGCAGGGGAAGGGCTATCTATGGGTTGGGCAGGATGGAAGTGTGTGGTACTCTGGTGACATCAGCAGGCAGCTCTCTTGCCTGGTGGTTGGAGGAGGATGGCCTGGCTGAGCACCTGCTGCACCCACCCAATGCCCCCCAGTTTCATTTCTGCCCTTTGCACTCAGCCCTAGGGTCCGTGAGAGTCTCCTGACCAGGCTGCCTCGGCCCAGAGGCCTGCGGTCTGGGGGATGAGGAGGATGTGGCTCCTGGAGCTCAGGGGGAAACACAGAACACAGAAGTGATCAGCAGGAACAACAGCTCTGTCGCTCTGCCATGGCTGCCTGCTGTTGACCTCAAACATCCTCATTCTCTCCCTGGCAACTGCCTGTTGGAGGCTTTGCAGTGGTGAGTGGAGAATCTTTTTGGGGGACTAGCTGATGAGTGTAGATGTGGGGAGCACTGCATTATTATTAACATCATTAGCTAGAACACCCTCCATTAGTAGCTAATAAACAAATTGAACCTGCATAGTGCATCTGCTCTTAACTTCACTGTTGCTTTAAATACCTTAATTATAGTATCTAGCAGGAAAAGAACTGCTTTTCCAGAGCAACCCTGCCCCCACAAGTCTTGGGAACAAAGGCATGCACTACCACATGAGGGCCCAAACTTGGACTTATTTGTTAACTGTCCCAAATATCAGAGTCCTGAAGAGCAAACTACTTCTATACACAGGCTACTAACTTCTTAACCCCTGACGAGCTGTGGATGCTTTAGATTGTCCAAGTTCAGGTAGAAAATGTTTCCTAAAATCAAAATCCTCCAATCCAATCTAGGAACAGGGGCCCTATGAATAGACCTAATGAAACAGGAAGAGACATTTTCTGAGAAGTTGAAAGAGAAGTGTCTCCAACCTTTGACCATGCTGATGTTTGAATTAAGATGATCTTTAAGGAATTTGACCATGATTCTCATCCTAGCTCTTTTTACTGGGGGAAAAACTGAATATTTATCAGGAAACTCCTTGGAACCTAAAGGTGACAAACTGTTTGCACGTGCCTTTATCTTCCACAAAAGATTTCAGGTAGATTGCTTAGATACACAAAAACAAAAGAAACAGATAGTTAAAAGTATCCACAAAAAGAAAGTCTGTACAATGGATTACAGAAAGAGACTAACTCAAAGCTATGTGTCAGAAATCCTCATTGGGTGGTCTGCAAATATTTCTCAAACCACAGATATTTCTCTAATCTGTTACCTCACCCAGTGTTCTGAATATTTTGAAGACAGTTATTATTTAAGAGAGGCACAGTTTTTTCCTAGAAACTGGGACAGACAGAAACCTCACGAGAGGATCTTCGTACTGAGTACTTTTTGTAACATGGTAAGTAATGTTCTCGATAGCATCCTTGCGGTAGACAAACTCATTCTCTATGAGAAACTGAACGTTGAGGGAGTGATGTCAGCGGAACAGTACTCTTATTTGAAAGTGACAGAGGCCTGATATCATAGGTGCTGAGTGAAAGTGCATCATCACGCATGGCCAGGGCAAGGTCATGCTTCCAGTCGTGGGTCTGCCTTTGGGGATGACATCACACCAGTGTTTCCGAATGCCACCTTCCAGAGGCCTGGTGCTGCTGTGTGCCCTTGGGCCATCTCTCAGCAGATAACAGGGAGAGAATGAAGTCCTCAGTCTTCACACCTGGCTGGAGAATGCTGAGCTGGACCTCCCTTTTGGGATGGACCCACTTCTGACTCGACCAATAAGAGCCCTTAATTACTAAGGATTGTGACTAGTCAATTGAGTTCCAAATGACTCTTTTGCACAGCTCTCTAACTCCTTAATCTATCCCCTGCGCTGCCCCAGCTTTGGACTCAAATTCCCTTTCTTGCCACTGTACACTATCATAAATACCTACGTACTTTTTGTTCCCAAATACTGAATGAATGTGCTTTTCTATCTCTATGTGTCTGTTCAGACTGTTCTCTCTGCCTGCGTGTTCTTCCCCTCTTTGTATCTGCCTGGGGGAAAAAAAAAAAACAAAAACGAAACTGAATTCAGTCCTAAGGGCTGGATGAAAACACCTTTTTCTTGAAGTAGCCCTTTTCTAGCCCCTGGTCGGGAGTTCATTGCTCCCTCTGCAAACTGCTGCTGGTGCACAGCAAGACTGTGTACGTCTCCCTTGGAGCACGGGGAAGCCAAATTTCATCTGCATGCATCCATGAATATATTTATGGGCTATTTGTGTTCTATAACTCTTCACCATAATTGCAAAGATAGTGACTGTAAGTAGATTATCAATGTGTAAGACACTGATTTAACTCTATAGGAAGGGGGAGCTTTTTCTAAAGGGAATTTAAGCATATCTACTTAGCACCCTGTAAGTGGGATGCTGCTCCAAGTGCTGATAGATGCCCTCTGGTTTTACATAGTGAACCTTAGTTTTGCATCTCTGGAGCCTGTTTCTGAACTCTTCACCTATTGTAGAAGTAATTTATGAACAAGGTCCTTGGCTGCAGTTGTCACCTTGGAAAGGAGCGAGGTGGGGTAAGGTGGAGCTTCCTCTTTCAGTTCCCCTTTATTTACACCCCAGACCATAGCTGTAAATAATCATAATTCTCTGTGGAGAAGGCTCACCCCAACTCTTTACAAAAGTGGGTCAACTTTTCTCACCCTTCCTAACAGGTTATTTAATGATGTGATATGTGTTAATTAACCTTGTTCATTCTAAATTAATAGTTCACTGGAAATGAGGACGTGTTTTAATTCAAGAGGCAAACGTATACAAACTGTCCCAGAGTGAGTATAATTGATCGCTGTATTATTTGCACAAGACTTTGAGACACTGATTTAAAGAGTTGAGACATGTGTCCTTCATCCTGAAGAACTTCAGTTTGAAAAATGAAACGTAGGGTGGACATTTGGCACAACAGTTAAGATGCTGTGTATAGTGCCTGCATCGCCCGTCAGAGTGCCTGGCTTCAAGTCCAGGCTCCGCTTCCAGTCCTAGCTTCCTGTTAATGTGCACCCTGGGAGGCAGCAGGTGATGGCTCAAATACCTGAGTCTTCAGCACCCATTTGAGAAACTTGAATTGGGTGCCAGGCTCCCAGCTCTGGCCTGGCCCGGCCCAGTCCTGGCTATTACAAGCATGTTAGGAATAAACTAACAGAAGAAAGATCATTTTGTGTTAGTCTCTCTGCCTTTCAAATAAATAAAAATAACAAGTGTTAAAAATTTAAAAGTGAAGTATAAAACTGGGTAACAGAAACTGTGTCATAAAATTTGACACATGATGAAACTTGCTGCCCATCTTTAATTCACAAACTTTGTAGATTCTGTACATATGACAGAGTTTCAGCAGGTTCATGGAAAATGACGTTAAAAAGAAATGGGTGTTTGCCAATTGGTCAAAAATGCCTATATCCATCTTAGAGTGCTTGGGTTCAATACCCAGCTCTGCCCCCTGACTCCAGCTTCCTGCCAATGCAGACACTGGAAGCAGTGGTCACTCAGGTAACACTCCTTGTGGCCTGTGTGGAAGATCTGGGTTCATAGCTCCCGTCTTCAGCTCTGACCGAGCCCCAGTCACTGCTTGCCCCAGTCGGAATCAGCGAATGGGAGCTCTGTCTTCTTTCTCAAAAAAAGAGAAAGTATATATATTTACATATAATTGTATATGTCTAATTTTTTTGAAGATAATGGGCATTATCTCCTTGAAGTGCCTGTGCGCCTTATTTAATCCTAAAACAGTCAGCTTTTCTCCTGATCTGAGAAGGGTGGAGAGAAAAACGAGGGGCAGGAGGTGAGGGCAGAAGAAAGGGGAGGCAAAATAGGAAGAGCTAGTGTTCCACTTGCTCTCGCAGCAGAACCTGCTATTGTATAGGCACTGGTCTAAGTAACTTGTGTAATTCACTGTATCATGAAATAATCCCCAGCAAGCCATAAGAAGTACGTGTTTATTATAATCCCACTCTACAGATGAGGAAACTGAGGTGCTCAAAGGATAAGAATCATATATTTATGAAGTGTGTGAAATATAGCTGCATACATACATATCTATAGACCTACATACATATACCTAGTAAGTAGCAGAGCCAGAATTCAAACTCAAGTTTGATCGCTCCAACACGCATCCTTCTGCCCTGTGTGCTGTGCTGTGTTTAAGGAAGGAAGGCTCAGCATGGGTACATTGACTGGCCTTGAGAACGGATACCAGGATTTCAAACCGCAGACATATACACGTACTAACAAAAGCTGCCAGTACTACAAACATGGCGCTGCACACCGCCTGGATGTCTCTTTAACAAAACAGGATTTTCCTGGCTTGAGAAACAACCTAAGTCTGAAGAGGGAAGCGGCCTCGCCTTGGCCTCTCCATACCAGAAATCTTCTCATTAGGGATCAGTAAGACATAGAAAAAAACCCAACAATAACATCATCAAAGAAAGCTGAAGAGAAGCCCTACCTGGGATTGTAAGCAGTGGCATGGAAACCCTGAGGGTTCTATGGAAATGCAAGTGGTAACAGGACAGAGGAGCATTCGTTCAGAGGAACTCATAGACAAGAAGGAAGCAAGTAGATATGAGCAGATAGGTTTGCTTTAATGCAAAAATTTGATACCCATGCACTTTTGAAAATAATATGCGTTTTCCATGAGGTTTGCAGAGAAAAGAGCAGAGCTTGGCAGTGAGGCCAAATTCCTTGTGTTTCTTTGTGTCTTTGCATTGTATTTTATGGCTATAGTGTTTGTCCAAAGTTACCCACTTGCAACAGAGAAGAACTGCATGTCTTCTCCCTTTAAATGGTAAATTTTTTCAAAGCCATTAAAATGTTTTAAAGCCATTTTTCTCTTCCAGGAAGCTGTCAAAATATGCAATTTCTATTTTTAAAGCAAAAAAAAAAAAAGGACTGAAATGTGTCAAGCCCCTGGAAACAGTCTGAAACCCGATTGAGTTTGTGCAGAAAAGCGCACACTACAAATCCAAAGACCATCTGGCTGCAGACATGTTGGTTTCTCTGCGAGGGTAAATCTTATAATCACCAAACTGAAAGTCAGCTAGGAGAACAGAAAGCACACACACACACACACACACACACACACACACACACACACACACACACACACACACATTTTGAAAAAATACGTCCTAGTTCCTGTTCCACTAAACCATATGGTTCATTGCTGGAGGGCAGTTCTGGACCCAGGTAGAGACTCAAGAAAGGGACTCAGTCCTGAGCTGTGGAGTGCCACTCAAGCCACTAAGGGAGGCGACCATTCAGTAGGAACCCCAGGCGAGTGTAATTGACGTGTCTGTTGCGTGTTTGAATTGCTGTAACACAGGTGTATTGCAGCAGTCATTACAGCTTTTCTGCATTGCATTTGTGAACACTTGCTGTAATGTTTTCTTGTTGGATTTTTGAAACCTCTGACAGTTAAAACTGGATGTGGATTATAAAATAGTAGAATCGGCCAGGGAGCTGAGTGGACACTTGGAGGAGTCTTTCTTCAGATAAACAGGGATAATGCCATTTCTTGGTAACACATGGGACCAAGCTGACAGGATTTCAAATGAAAGAAGGGACTGCCCTTTACAAAACTGAGACATGCACAGGGTGGCACCACAAGAACTTCCTGTGCTGGTAAACATGACAAATGTGCACCTGCAGCCAAACTCAAGAGAAGCTCACTATCATTACATAGTCTTGAAACTATGTCTATAATTTGAGTCTTCCAGCAATTTTTAAAAATTTGAGTAAGAGAGTAAAAGAATGAGCACCTCCATCTGCTATTCTACTTCCCAAATGCCTTTAACAGATGAGGTCGGACCAGGCTCCACCCAGGGACTAGAAACTCAGTTCACATCTCCCATGTGAAAGGCAGGGACCTAATTACTTAACAGTACCAGCATCACCTGCTGTCTCCCGCAGTGTGCACAGCAGCAAGAAGCTGACATCAGGAGTGGAGCCTGGATTTGAACCCAGCTACTCTGATTCTAGATCCAGGTGTCGCAAGTGGCATCTCAATTTGTGTCAGTCATCCCACCAGCCAACATCCTGAATAGATAAGTAGTCAATGGTTCACACGCTCACCAGGTGACTTCCAGGAAATTCTGTGCTCTAAATTAGTGTCATCCTGGTATTCAACAACCATTAACACTCACCAGTCCCACTGCTTATGGAATCCTTGCACTTGCAGTTTGGATTTCAGTGGGTGGGTTACTGAGGGGCCTCATGTGGTGCTTGAATAAGGAAAGGAAGTGGAAGAGACAGTTGTGCCAGAAGATGGCTCATGGGGGCAGAGGCTGGACGAACCTCTCGTGGGAGAGGTAGCGGCTGCACTGTGGTGGTTTGTTCTCAGTGAGTGATGGGGAGGGGGGTGAATTACCTGAAACTTCTGGAAGTGTGGGCTTGTCTTCTTTCCGGAAGTTCCCATCACGAACAGGAAGTCTGGAGTAAGCACAAATGGCACTCTCTCTTTATTAATGCCCAGGAAACTTTTATAGTTGCCAAGAATGTGCCCGAAGTCAATATGAAAGAGGTTTCCTTCAGAGAAGAGAACGTTTGACATCAGCACACAGTATTAGCAGTTGTCATAACACTTCAGTTCTTGACATATTTTTTTTAAGTTTCCTGAATATGAGCTAGCCTGGGTGGCACAGCATTTTTCACACTGTCTTATTTGCTTGTCATAGTTTCCATTTTAGGAGGTGTGTGCAAGCAGCAGCCACAAAGCATTCTTTGAACCAAAGATACTTTCTGAGTCCTTCTGATATTCTTCAGATGATAGCCAAAGGCCTGTAAGAAATTTCTGCCTCGAGATTATTCTTAGAAACAGAAATGACTCCTTTCCAGGATCATTTCTAAGACGGTTACGTTCATTGGGCCTCTCAGGATAGACTGATGTGGTACTCCGTGCGTGGGAGGAGTATTCAGGCTTTGCTTTTGAGTAACACAATAGAACATGAATCACTTTCAGTCTCCCTTAGGTCAGCTTTTGCCACCGCCACCATCATCCCCACAATCACCATCATCTCTGCTCCTTTGCTTAGTTAGATTTTTAACACTTTTATACTCCATCAAGGTATGATCTGTCTTGTTTCTTAAGGGAGTCATTTGTGGCAAATCTGGTGCTTTTTCTAGACTCTTGAAATAGTTTACACTTCATACAGAAAAATTTGATTGTGTGGTCATCATTATCAACTACTGCTGGAATGCACAGCGACCCAGAGAGGTGAGGGTGGGGGAAGAACAACATTTTAGACTTAAAAATACCTAAGGGGTCTTCTGCTACTTCCTGGCAACGTTGGACATCTGCCTCAGTTCCTGGGATATGACCCTGTGAAGTGTCTGCCTTTCTCTCCCTGACTTTTCATTCCTAGATTTCAATTCCTATCTCTTCTTTCCCGTCTTCGCTTCTTGGCCCAAAGTCTCAAGGTGGGTGGTCTTTATAGGCATCAGAATCCTTATACAGTAAGGACTTCTAAACTCTTGCACTAGCTTTAAACTATAGTTAAAAATTATTATGTCCTGGGATAAGTGCTGTATAGGGAGTTAGTGTTTAATGGGGGTAGAGTTTCTGGAGACAGGAGGGGTAAAAGGTGAATAATAATGTGAATGTACTTACAATAATGTGAATGTACTTATATTATTGTTTATATTGGCATTATAATAATGCCACATAATTACACACTTGGAAATGGTTGAGATAGTATGTTTCATGTTGCTTATATTTAATCTTCAAAATTATTGTGCAATGCATACACTCACCTGTCTCTGAGATCATAATATTGTCGTTGTGTCTGTCGCCTATCCCGAGAACAAAGGTTGCCACGCAGTAGCCTGCACAGGAATAAACAAATCTCTCCACTGCTGCCTGAAACTAATTAAAATGCATCTGAATATTAATTATCTTCTAACTGTAATGAGCAGCATGAGTCTATTACAAATGCCTTCCAAAAAGACACATTTTCAGAGAGCAGGTTAGTTGTGCCTCATTGCTTTAGGGTTACACCACCAGATGCCAGATTTCCCATTGTCCTGCTTACATGCGAGGGGAGGCATCCCCGAATGAATCACAGTAGCATGAGGAGGGAAGGAGAGTCAAAGGGCAACGATAATTTAATCAAAAGGTTTGCTTCCTCTCCACGCATCATTTGCCAGTCACTGCACAGAACCTGCAGTGATTTCTCCCTCCCTGGTGACCATGTGCTTTGCTTGTGACCACTGAAGAGCACGCATGGGTTCAGTAACCCCCATGTCTATCAGATTTATGAGTGCTACTAATTATATTCCCTCCACTCTTGTCTCCAAAAGGCTGATGACCATGCCAATGAGAAAGGGCTCATCCGATGTGGCAGAGTTTAGATGACAGCCCAGGAGCCTAACCAGCCAGCTTGTGAAGGATTCAACAGATGCACTCTAGAGGGACAGTGGAACTGACATTTTCAGCATCTGTAATTTGCCATTTACATCAGGGTATGGTAGTAAATTATAAATTACTTTATTGGTATGTGGTATTTCCCAGGTAGGAAATTTCCTTGAGAGGAGAGAGAGAGAGAGAGGTCCAATCTAAAGGATCTCACTCCCCGTTGCCCACAATAGCTAAGGTTGGGCCAGGTTGGGCTCAGGAGCTGGGAACTCAACCCAGGCTTCCCACTTGGGTGTCAGGAACTCAGTCACTTTGAGTTATTACTGCTGTCTCTCAGTGTCTGCTTTGACAAGAAGCTGGAATCATGAGAGAGGCAGGAATGAACAGACTCTCCTAGGCAAGCTACAGGCATCTCAACCCCTGGGCTAAATGCCTACCCCAGGAGAGAATCCACACATGGGAACTAAATATTTCTGTTGCATAAAAATAGAGAGCCATAAAAAGTGCTAACAGACTGCATTACAGAGCCCAATTTTATTCAAAGCATGTGTGGTAAGCAAAGGAGAAGCAAATGCTTGGGGAGTCTGGAACTATGCACCTTTGTTTTCACAGATATGCTCTGTCACCCCACGGAAGCCCGTAAAACCCTCACTGCCCCACAAAGCAAGGAGTTCCCCAGCAGGGCAATAGGCAAGGTTTTGGCAGACCCTCTGCAAACCTGAAGCACTATTGACCATTTTCTAAGGAGCCTTTGGAACTGGGGAGGCACAGGCGCTCACCTTGTCCTCGAGCGGGCATTTTTCCTTGAGCCAGTGACTCAAGACTTCATCCTTGAATGCACCCGTGTTCCCCACGGTGCTTTGCTGAATCTTGGCAATGGTTGTGGCGTCCTTCACGATCTCGATCATCCCTACGTGAGGATACACGGACTTGAGTGGAGCTGGTTGGGGCTTCGTGCTGCCCCAGAGGAGGAATGGCCCAGTGTCTCTTTCTCTTTGTTTTAATGAGAGGGCTATTTTCCATGTCTGTGCTGCTTTTTTTTTTTTTTTTTTAAGGAGGAAGGGAAAGTAAAGGAGGACATAATGTTTGTGTGGGATGTTCTTTCATGTCCCTTCGGAGAACAGAACAGGGCTGCTTCTGAACAGTGGCGAGTCAGTGTGCAGGTGCTGAACACCCCTGGGGATCTGTATCACCCCCTCCCCTGCCCCTTTTCGATTTCATGGTCAAATGTAAATGATTTTGTTTAGTTCTCAAGTCAGAGACTTGAATAAAAATATGTTTGATTGAAACTGAAATGGTAACTGTCTATAGAAGTTCCTAACCCTGGAGTGGGTAATAGCTTTGATAATATGAATTTTGAAATTTTAAAGTGAGTGACAGGTCTCTCCATCTATTTTTAAATGTTATTTCTGAGAGAAAAGTATAAAATGTAATAAAATGAGCTAAAAGTTTAGAGGTGCACAAGGAACACCTTCATACTGAAGTCAGTTCCCTTGCAGCGTCACAAGGAATTGCATCATGCGTGCATGTGTTTCCAACTTGCCCATTTTCAAATGAGAGTCACATTCACCAGCCTGAGAACATTAGCTTCTCATATGGATCCTGATTGTAATGCTGAGCAATTAAATGCCTGCAGTGAAGGAATTACAATCCTTTATAACTAGCTGAGTGGTATGTTCACCTCCTGGGGTCATCACGTACCTATTTTGTCACCAGTTGAAATGCAACCATATGGCAAGAGGCACAGATCCAAAGATTCTGTTTCCCAGATGGACTCCATGATTCTTAGAATCTGGACATCAAAACATGGAAACACGTCTATTAGAAATAAACATCCTTCTCCTTATAAAAAGCAAAATCAAACCAAATCAAACCAAACAAAAAACTAAAAATCCAGCAGTCTGGCCCTTGCCACCCATGTGGGGGACCTAGTTGGAGTTCTGGATGCCTGGCTTGCTCCTGAAACAATCTTAGCCATTGTGGTCACGTCGGGGATTGAGTCAGTAGAAAGAAGAACTCTCACTCTGGGCCTCTTTCTCTTTCTCGTTCTCTCATTTTGCCTTTCAAACAAATAAATAACTCTTAAAAAAGAAAAGCAATTTTACTTTGGAACACCAAATATGTCACTAAATGCCACAACTAATAAGCATCTTTTCATTGGTCAACCATCTTCTGCAAGCCTATTAATTACAATCTGAGCTATGCTCTGGGAAGCGGGTACGTGGTTTCTTCTGGGTTAAGTTTCAGTTATGTTTTATCTGTTCCATCATTATTTGTTCAAAATGTTTCACTCTAGTTGTATGTATCTGACCATAATGTCCATAGCATTCTTACACATATTCACTGCTCCAACATCCATAAGGCACTCAAGCTTATGACAACGCAGCAATAGCTATATGCACAGCAAACATTCACGGAGGGCCATTTTATGTTTGATTCTTGCATTAACCACACATACTGGATGTGGTTATTATTCCCAATATGCAGGTGAAGGAGGAAAGACTCAGAGAGCCTAAATTAATTGCTCTTTTCTGCCAAAATCTGTACTTTGAGAATAGAACAAAATGTGTGAACGGAAATGCATGCTTTCCTTCTAAGTGAGGGGAACAACAGTGGTTTCTGTGTTTTTGAAATGCACATCTTTAAAATAATTCAAAAGAGTCTGCAGATTTATTTGATTTTTTACATGTGTTCAAAAGGTCTAAAAGGTATATTTTTTCTTTTAAAAATACTTCCTAGGCTGCCCTGGCTGGGTTGTGGTTCCCACTGGTGAATGCAGGAGCCAGAACGGGGGTGGCAATCCAGGCTGGACATGGCTGCAGCGTCCTTTGGCATGGGTGTGGACTAGGTCTGGGATGTGCCAGACTGGGCTGTATTCCAGCACCCACTGGTGCTTGTGAGAGCTAGGGTGGGTTTAGGATGGACTGGGCTAGGTCTGGGGACCCACTGAACTATATGTGAGCTGTTTCTTGGTGTGGACCAGGTGTGGCTGGGCAGTAAAACCCAATAGTAAGAGTGGAATGGGTGTGGGCTGGTTGGACAAGGTCACTGTTCCTGCCAGGACAGGAGGTGGGCTAAGTCTGGGCCAAGAATTCACCAGTGTGCATGAGACCTGCCACTGGGAGGAGACTTGATAGAGAAGCTTGGGGAACTCCTCTGTCAGTACACAATCCCAGCAGGAGAGCACCAGAGCTAAGGTTGGGAGCAACCCAGACCAGGCCAGGTTATAGTATCCACCAGCAATATGTGTGGCTCATGTCTTGGGGCAGGCCAGGCTGTGTCAGTTCATTACACCCACTGGCATATCTGAGAGCCAGGACATGGTGCAGGACAGGCCAGGTCAGGTCACAACACCAGCCAGTTCACATTAGGTCCAGAACTGGGGGCTTGCTTGGCTAGGCTGCAGCACCCACCAGCATGAGCTGGAACTGGGTGCAGACTGGACCAGGCCAGATTAAAGCACCTGCCAGCAAATGCTGAAGTGAGGCAGGACATGCCAGACTGGGCTGCATTACCCACCAGTACACATGAAACCCAGGGGGAGAGATGTTAGGCTGGTAGCAGGGCAGTGTGGGCTCTCCTGCTGGACAACTGCTCCCACTGGTGAGTGTGAGAGCTGGGACGGGGGACAGACCAGGTCGTGCAGGACCACAACATCTGTTGGCCTGCATATGAGCTGGGTTACGGGGAGAGCCAAACTGGGCTAACCAACTGTATCCGTCGGTGCACGCACGAACCAGAGTAAATGCAGGCTGGTTGGGTTTTGCTCCAGTATCTGCTGGCTAGTGCTAGGACTGGGGGCAAATCTTTTCAAGCTAAACTGCAGAGATATGGGACTAAGGGTTAGCCCAGCAGGGAAAACTGTGGGTACCTGTATGATGGGCTACAGCTTGCACTAGTGGACGGCCTGGCTAGACAGGTGGTGCACCCACTGGCATGAGTGTGTGCTGGAAAATGGGGTTGTTGGATTGAGCTAGGCTTCAACGCCCATTGACATTTATGAGAGCTGAATGGATTGTAGGGACAGATTGAACCAGTCTGCTGCACATCCTGGCAAGCATAGGAACCAGGACTGGGGGCAGGTCTGGTAGGGGTTATAGGGAGTAGCTCTGGTTAGGCTGTAGTTCCTGTTGGTATACATGAAGGCTGAATGTGGGTTGGGTTGGGCTGGGCTGCAGCATCCATTGGTTTGCGTAAGACATGGGGCTGAACACAGAACTGATCCAGCAATTAAAACTACTAGTGTGTGCACAGTTTGTCTTGTAAGTAGATAATACTACATGTGAGAAATTGTTAACTTCATGTTAAACTTCTAGAATCTAGAGAATCCCACCTTACAAATGTGTTACAGCTAAAATTTATCCAGAAATGTTAGGAAAGATGAAGATGGTTAGCACGAATGCTTTTGTCATATACCTTCTTCCCTAACAACAGGCTCACTCTTAATCACTTACTCCAACTACCTACCTGCTCATTTTCTCCCTGTCCCATCAAATTGTTCTGAGTCTGCATATGTGTATTAGAGATACATTTAAGGACTGTGACTATGGGTATGTAGGTACACTCTGAAAAAGGCTAAAGGGGTAAATATGGCTGTAGTCCGCAGTATTGAAGTTGGAATGGGACACATAAAGAGGTTAGTGAGAGGGTAGAGCCGGCGACTTGGAAATGCATCTTTGGAGTAGGCAGAAATGTGGCGCCCATTGGATTGCATGTCTAACGAAGCACAGCCACATTCTAAAAGTGAAAATTTCTTTTTAGGAAATCTCTGATCACCATTCAGCATACACACAGAGCATCTTTTATATCTATCTCAGGAGTCTTTTTTTTTCAGATAATCCAAATTCCATAACATCAAAGTACCTGTAAAATCAGCATGTCTTGGCGCAGATCATCACCATGTTTAAAGATGATGCCAATCGTCTCCTTTGAGAGGGCTGTGGGGTCAGCACATTTGAACTCGAGCCACAGGGGCTTCTTCTTGGAGGCCATCACTTTACATTTCTCAATCTGGAAAGGAAGCAGTCATGTGTCTTCTACATGCAATGAATCCACATTGTAGAGATCGAAATTCTCTTGCAAAGCACCACTATAAACGGCCAGACAGAAGTCCTAGCTGGCACGTGATTTTCAATATGTGTGTTAAAATACAGAAGACCTTCTCATAAATCTGGAAATGTTATGTGAGAGCAAACTCACTGATGGTTGTCTCAGTTTACTGTTGGGTACTGCCTCTAGGCAACAGCACAGAGAAAGAGGATCTAGGCCCAGCCCAGGGTCCTGCAGCTTAAAATAAACTAAATTCTCAGAAGGAGAGGGGAGAGAAGAGGGGACAGAAAAAATATTTGGCTATGAAATCTTCGAATTTGATAGGTTACAACTCCCCAAATCCAAGCACAATAAAGCAGAAGACACATGAGTAAATACCTGTCAGAGTACATCATAATCAAATTGCTGAAAAACAGCTATAAAAGAAAATCTGAGAAGTAGCTTGGGGATAAAAAGAGAGAATCAAATGTAAGCACAGAAGACATATCATCAAGACATACACAAGCCAGGAGAAAATGTTACTGAGTGAAACAAACATAAACAAAGCCACTCAGTACAAAAGTCTACATTCAGGGAAGTTCTTTTTCAAGACAAAGGTGGACTAAGAAGTGTTTCAGATGTACAAAAACTGACAGAACTCATCGTCTGCTGACCCGAAGTGTGACAAACGGAAGTCACCTAGCATTAAGGTTTTTAGTAGCCGGTGATTAAAGGTGGGCTTCGTGGAGGCACATCCAGGGACTTCCCAGGTTCCTTGCCTCTACCAACACATTCTCTGTCAAGTACCAGTTTCAAGAAAGCACACAAAATATAGGTAAGACATTTGGACCAAAAGGAGACATCCAAATGGTACCTACCACCAGTGTTCCTGCTTTCAGTCCAGGGTCATAGGGAACTCTAAAACTTGTCGGGAGACTCAAATTCTGTAGGTTTTCAAGTTTTTGCTTAAGTTGTAAAATAACTGTAATTGTCAAAAGTGCACAAGAATCATGTAAGTTCAAGACATTATTATCTAAAGTATTTCCTAGGGTTATATTAACTCATTTCATATTTTTGGTATGGGATGGAGCTGGAAGAAAGGGGACATGGCCCTGTTGTTGAGGAATTAACCATTTGAGGTGGCGACATAACTCAGGCTTGTTATGAGCAATGTAACCCAGAATACACCCTGCAACTGGGGACAGAAATAGATGAATATGTAAGTATGTGGGCGGACTCATAGAGGCCAATATAGCCAAATACAGACTGTTGGCATTTGTAGAGGATGGGAGTTATATTTCTGCCCATCTCTCTCTGCTTTTCAAGTATTTTTTTCAAAATATGTCCATATAGTTTTAAAAAAATTATTGTGTTATAAAAAAGGAAGTTTGAATTTGCTTATCAAATTTTGCTGTCAAGTTTTAGACAGAAGACTAAAATAAATAATAATGTTCACGGCTGCAATTGGAAATCTACGATTTGGCCTCCAGAAGAAGAGGATTCAGAGGCATGATGGCATGGAGATGAAGGCATTTGGAAAAAGGACCAAGGAAACAGAGCCACTGTACCTTGAGAACTGACGTCATACTTTTCAGCAGAGAGTGACTTGATGTCAATGGTGACTTTTTGTAGCATCTCAATTACGAGGACTTGTTGGGTAAGGTCGTGCAGCATGGCTGTGCCACAGCCCCTTAGGTAGGCTTCCAGGAGCACAGCAAACCTCTGCTGATAGTGTCTGGACTGGGCTATCTCACTCCTCAAGAACCAAAACAAGAAGTGACCAATTCTTTTGTTCTGAAGGCGAGTACAAGAAGGTTGAAATTATGACTTGTGCCCTAGGTCAATCAGTCATTTCTTGCAAGCATAAAATGTCATGTGGTTATCAAAGTGCAAGGACTTACCCGTAAACCACGCTTCAACAGAAATCGGGCTAGGGCACTGTCATGGTATGGTTCAAATTTCACAGCCTAAAGAAAGAACATGCCAGCAATTATGGACTGCGTTTGGTGTTGGCAAGTCAGGAAAAAAGGAATGAGGACAGGCTGGTGTTTTGTTTCCATGGGTCTTTATGGCTACAGTGATAAGGATGGAATGCTTAAAAGTCACTCACATTAAAGTTTTTTTAGAGGTCACTTAGAACCAAAGTAAACCACTTGCTTAAAAGTGTATCATAGCTGATGCTTGAGCTAAGGTTAGAGGTCAGAATTCCTAACTCTCACCATTGTGCTTTTGACCACTTCCCATTAAGGACTCTTTGCTCCCATTAAGGACTGCCTTAATTTATTGGAAGGGTAGAGGAAAAAGAATGAGATGGTTACTGAAATTGTATAAAGTGGAAAGGCAAAAGAAATTGTGAGAAATAGACAATGGTGATATAGACGTATACAGAAGGAGAAAGATATTTGTAAGATGTGAAGTTCCTAAAACCCCTTCAGCTTCCCATTTTAGTGTCTCACTGGCTGTCTTACAGATTCTTTTTTCAGGCAAAAAACAGACCTAGGTCAATTCTCACAGAGCAGTCACTACTGCTGTTTCCACTTGGTGGACAAAGAGCTTTCTGTCAGAAATTTCATGATTTTATGTGCTTTCTGTGGCAGAGACTGAACCTTATTTTAAGTGTTTGGTAGTTTTCCTATCAGTTGGCCAATGTAAAGAATATTGACGTAAGTGGCAGCTTGAACTGCCTCCAGTGCAATCTTGGAGGAAGCATGAACATTTGGTTGATAAATTCTCTGTACTTTTTTTTGTGTCTGAAATAGTTCATACTTTTAAAACCAGTAAGGCTAACAAATACTGTTTAATTATAAATGTGTATATGAGAGTCTGGCTGGATGGCTCATTTGATGAATCCTTCTCCCACAGGTGCTGGGATCCCCCTATGGGTTGGTTTGTGTCCCAGCTGCTCTCTGCTTACGGCCTGGGAAAGCAGTAGAGGATGGCCCCAAGTCGTGAGACCCTGCATCTGCGTGGGAGTCCTGGAAGAAGCTCCTGCCTCCTGGCTTCAGATTGGCTCAGCTCTAACCTTTGGCAGCCATTTGAGGAGTGCACAGGAAGATGGAAGATCTTTCTCTGTCTCTCCTCTCTGGCTATCTGTCTTTCCAATAAAATAAATAAATATTTGAAAAAATGCATATATGATGATAAATTTGGAGGATTGGAGATGATTTCTGCACACGGAGCGAGGGGTCCAGTGAAGCATCATATAATATTTTCTCTACAAGCAGAAATGTCTGTCCTTTTTCCCTCCCAGGGAAAAAAAATATCTCACTCTAGTTTATCAGGCCTTCTTGATTTAGTTTACAATTCTTACTCTGTTTTACCGGTTTGCAGATGATCAATCCTGACTTCATAATGTTTCAATTATACTAAGGCTTTCAAAAAGCTCTTCATGGGCGTGGTCAAGTAGGTGCCACAAAGGCGGCACAGAAGGCCGTAATTCTGAGAATGTGACCATGGAGACAACAGTATTACTCCACCGTGGGACTATTTTGAGCTTCTAAACTAAACGTGAGTCTTTCTGACATTTGTGTTTCACTTCTCTAAAGACAATGTAGATCTCAACCAGAAAACTCTTTGCATCAGGGCCGAGTCATTTAGCCATCTCTGAAAACGTCTCAAGTTGCTTTGTCAATGACTACTCTTCTTTAAGACCACAGATTCAGTTTTAATAGTTCTTCTTGGTCTCTTTCACCTCAACATTTCTAAGAACGCTATTTTCTCATTCTGCAAAATTTGCTTGCGAAAATGTTGCTAAGACTAATCCACAGAGGCTACGGGATTTGGGAAAGAGCTCATACAAGTTTGCTTTACGTTATTTCTGTGTTTAAATTTTTTTAAAGATTTATGTATTTCTTATTGGAAATGCAGATTTATAGAGAGAAGAAGCAACAAAGAGAAAGGTCTTCTGTCCACTGGTTCACTCCCTAAGTGGTCACAATGGCCTATGCTGAGCCAATCTGAAGCCAGGAGTCAGGAGCTTCTTCTGCATCTCCAACATGGGTGTAGAGTCCCAAGGCGCTGGGCCATCCTCAATTGCAGGCCACAAGCAGGGAGCTAAATGGAAAGTGAAGCAGCTGGGCACCAATCTGCCACTAAATGGGGTCTTGGAGGTTGCAAGGTGAGGATTTATCCACTAGGCCATTGTACCAGGCCCCTTATGTTGTCTTCATTATGGAAATGCAGAAAATTCAAGATCCCTCAGTCCTTCCAAAATTTTTTTAGTGCTATGTCAGTATCTGAACCAGTGGTTTGAAAAAAAAAATAGATAGATGAACGTAAGGGCCAAATTTAACATTTCAGGTTTGGGACCCAGGGAAGGTGAAGATTGATAGTTAAAGTTGAGCATATCCAAAATGCTCATCAGAGCGCTCCAAGGGCTTCCTAAGGAGAGTGCTTGGACAGTTCAGTACTTAGCTTGGCTAATCCTAAAAATAGGTCAAATATCAGCTTTTAGAAGTATCCTTGGCCCCCTGAGTTTACATTAAGGCTCCTCTGAACCTGCACGTTTGCTTAGCATGCTTTGTAGCTTACCCCAAAGCATTTGACACAATTTGGTATGAAACACCCATTTGTATGTGCTGTCATTCCAATGTATGCTGCTGAATTAGGACAGGAATTGTCTGTGCTCTAATATAACACCTCTATCTAATTCCTTTACCTTTTTTTTTTTTCCTTACCAAGTGGTACAGTGTTATTTGAGAACTGCTATACTAAACAAAATTGTTCCTTCTCCTTTAACTTCCTGCCTAACTTTAGGGGGAAAGAAACACTCCTTCTAAAGAGTAGAATTTTCCAGTTCTAGTCATGTAAGAGTTGATGTTACACTAAGTGTAATAAACACAGACAGGAAGACATGTTTTGTCTAGCCTGCAGGATCCTGACATTAGATGCAGTAAGGTGGCGAAAAACGCAGCGCTTAGAGTTGGACCTCCCCACGTTTGGAGTTGGCTTCTTTCCAAGTCTGTGACCTGGACACATTCCCTGCTGTTGTTGTGCCTCAGTTTCCTCATGTGAATGGCGTTCACCCAAGTGTTGGCTTGACCTCTGCCATACTTGTCAGGAGACTGAGTTAATACATAAAAGGCATGAGATCATTTGGAGACTGCGTTCGAGGAAACACTTATTAAGTCTAATGATCTTTAAAATAATAAATGAGAGCAGAGTATTCCCACAGGGCCAATTCTCTCCCCAAGCAAAGTATAGGACTAATGGCTGTGAGCTGTTGTGGTAGCTCCACAGGATAATCCTCTGCCTTGCAGCACTGGCATCTCATGTAGCACCAGTTCAAGTGCTGGCTGCTTCCCTTGTCATCCAGCTGCCTGCTATGGCCTGGGAAGGCAGCAGAGGTGTGACTCAAGTCACTGCACCCATGTGGGAGATCTGGAAGAAGACAACAGACCTGGGAGAAGCCAGAAGAAGCTCCTGGTTCCTGGCTCCTGGTTTCAGATCAGCTCAGCTATGGCTGTTGCAGCCATTTGGGGAGTGAACCAGTGAACAGAAGCTCTCTCTGTCTCTCTTTGTCTCTGACTCTCTCTGTGTATGTTTCTCCTTCTCTCTGTAAATCTGCCTTCCAAATAAAATAAAAATCCTTTAAAAATAATTTTATAGTGTCAGGATACACTTAAATAACAGAATGGTGGACTCATGACTGTTCAGGAAGGACTATGCTATTGTAGTAACACAGGGTAAATCATTGTATGGGGGACTTGGGGAAGAAGTAAGGGAAATCCCAGAGCCTGTGGGACTGTATCATAAAATAATGATGGCCCTGTGAAAAAGTCATTGGATCAGTTTTCTACACCGTGAGCTGGATTTCCTCAGAACTGCTTTGACCATGCAGGGCTGCACACAAAGCACGTTTGATGACAACTGAATGGGATGCTTATGCACATGCAAATAGGTTCCCTCAGAGAAGAGCCTTGTTGCTAACACCCACAATTCCTACCTGGACCAGCTGCAGAAGGTAATGCAAGACGTCATCATCTTCCAAGCTCTCCAGCTTCTGAACTGCGATTGCTCTTACGTTTTCATCCGAAAAGTTACAGTCTAGGAGTTGCATCGTTAGCCCAACATCCAAAGCACTCTGATCCCACACTTCCCTTCTGGCTAACAATTGATATGTTTTGGCCACCATTTCTTGCTGTCCCCATTTCACAGAGCTAAACAGCTTAGGATATGCTTTGGGATGTTTCAGGGTCTCATATCTAAAATGCCACAGCAGTTCCTTGTCCTCGGCTGTGAGTGGGTTAAGGGGATCAGTGTCTATGATTGCCTCGAGTTGCTTGCGAAGCTGGTTGGGCATTTCAGCTCTGACCCGGTCCCCTTCAGGGTCAGGGGTGGGTCGATGCTTAGGCAGGGCTATTGGGTGACAGTAATTGTCCAGAAGAATGGAGATGGACATGGAGTTCTCCTTGTCCGGGTTGGTGGCCGATGTGAGCTTGTCAGCATTGAAGCTGCCCTGGTCCTCTCCCTTCCCTGAGATTTGCCACATGTGCAGCACGTACTCTCCATGGCGCAGGAGGAAGCGGTGGTCTATCAGCAGCAAGTTCACATAATAGAGAAGCTGGGCCTTGCCTCTAGACTCAGCGCCAGGAGCGTCCGTGCAGGCCTTGCTGGACAGCGACGGTGCTTTGCCACAGTAGATCTGGAGGTTCAGAAGGGCCCCCTTGGGCAAGTCCTTGATTTTGATACTGAACTCAAGCCACACGTTCCAGAGCACCTCATCTGTGAAGGGCTTGGCGCTGGTCCTCCGCTGGCAAAGGACCTGCTGCCCGTGTTGGATATTGGCCTCCACAAACACCGTGAGCTCGGTGTTCCGGGGCAGGGATGGAATATCGATCCCTCGGATCTTGACCCTGAACTTGCGATCACAGTCCCATAGGGACACTGTGAAGACGCTTTCATGGTCCTTGCCGTGGATGGTCAGTTGCTCGTGATAGCCGGTGACTCCTGTGCAGTCATCTACCAGCGGCCACTCTTCCTTCCTCACCTCGTCCAGGGCGGGGTCCGGGGGTGTGTCCAGCACCACGTGAATCTCTTCTCCATTTTTCAGGCATTGCCTCACCCACTGGAAATTTCGGATGGGCGTCTCGCCCACAAGGTACTCATCCCTGCCGCAGACGCGCAGCACAAAATCTTGTTCGTTCTGGCTCTCCGGGATGTCCATTAGCGACTTCTTCTTGGCTATCTTGGTGAAGAAGCTTTGCAGGATGGTGCTGGGGGTGTCGTCCGCTGAGACCTTGATGGTCTGGCTGGTGGTGCTGCGGTGGATGACGATGAAGATGCAGTTGTTGTTAATTTTCTTAGAGAGGTACTCTGGGAGGGGCTTGGACGTCACCCAGGGATGCATGGCATAGAGCCTGGGGTCGCGGCTGGCCACTTCGGCCATACGTGGGGTCACCAGGCGGCGGCGTGTGAACTCCAGCTCGTCATCGTGCACATTGCTAACGTCCGTCACGTCGTAGCCGATCAAGGCTGTGAGCTGCCGCTGAAAGGCCAGCGTCTCCTCCGAGGGCGCGTGGCGCTGCACCACGTGGATCTGGCCGGGGCTCCTGTGGAGCATCTTCCAGTAGCGCAGACAGTCCAGCGTCTGCACCACCTGGTATTTGTCATAGATCTCGTACCACTGCCCCTTCTTCTGGTAGAGCAGGAGGAAGTGGTCCGGGCCGAGGCGGTGGTAGAAGTCTGCGGCCCCGCTGGTCTCCAGCGCCCGCAGCCACACCTGGCCCTTCATTTGCTCCACGTTACCATGGCCGGCCACGTGCAGCAGCGTCGTCTCTGGCGTCTTGCTGTCGCGCTGGCTGGTGGGCAGCACGAACTCGATGGGAATGAGCTCCATGGAGGACAGGCTGGCCGCCACGCTGCGGGGCTTCATCTTCCTCCGCCGGCGCCCCTGGTCCTCTCTCAGAACCACGGGCTGTTCATAGCTTTCCAGCTCCATGCCCCGTGCGACCTAGGAGCAGAGAAATAAGAGGGCTTTGTCACCAGAAATGTTGCTGTTCCTCTTCCCCACCTCCCTTCATGGCTAACTTAGAGGTGACGGGAAGTGAGGTGTGGAAGACTGACAAGGACCCAGAGGGACCAAGTGCTGCAGTACTGCCCTTTAGGGTACCGGACATGAATCCTGGCACTGCTGCTGACTAACTGGGTGCCTTGGCCTGCTGGAACGATCTTTCAACCTGACTCTCAGCTGTTCGATGCAGAATATTTTGGGGGTAAGCAGTAAGTGAGGGCTAATGGAAGATACACCTGTTGGTGTGGGAAATATCTATCTGTAGGTTCATTGATCATGCTCTGTACTTTTCTATGTGATTGAAAAAAAATCTTTTTAAAAAGGATGTGTAAGACTCATCTAGCACAGTGCCTGATACAATAGCTCAAAATGGTATAAGTTGTTCCTCAGCACACTGAAACAGGTGGATGAATAAAGTAACAGGGTTAAGGACCCTGTCCTCGCTTCGCCAACAGCTCGTCAACTTCTTTCCTTTCTGCCTCACAGTTCTCACAGCCCAGACGGTTTGCCCGACTGCCCGTCACTCTCTGTATTTCCACACTTTGGGCTCTGGTATCTTCTCCCTTGTCAACTTCCTATATTTCTGTTATAATTTCATTTTTCCCCCTTTCCAATGATGAAAGCTGGTGATCTCATTCATAAAACTAAACAAAAAAAAAAAATCAGAATTGGTAAAGTGACAGCCAAGAGGTTTAAGAGACACACAATTTTGAATTGTGACTTGCAGCAGCATTCCGACGATTGTTAGTTTTCAGGGTGATTCCTCACAGGAGGTACCCAAGGCTGGGCTTCTCCACGATGAGGTCCTTTGGAGTTGGTATTGATTCAGTCCATCTGCCTCTGGTTTAGTTGCTAGAAGGAAGAGCCATAGGAGTTCTGAACTCCAATACCTTCAGTCTGGACCACCATTAATTAACTTAAGTTTTGCTCTGATGTCTGCATCTCTACTAACGAGGATTCATCACTTTATTCTTATTAATTTTTCCATAAATATTATGTACCTACTAGTCACAAAGCATCTGAGTGATACACGTGACATTTTGCAAGGAAGAAGCCTTGATGGGATGATTGAAATGTTAAAAGTATGAAAATTGAAAAATAAATGTAAGAAAGCATTTTGCTTTGACTATTTAGTATTATGATGTTGTAATATAGTGTACTCCAAACATCAACAGTTGAAACAAAAGTCAGTCAGTCAAATTGTCATTTCTCTCCTAAATGACTAGTTTTAGTGAGACTCATACCACTTTGCTTTGTTAAGAAATAGTGCAGTATTTGATACAGACCCCAAAGGAGAGTCTGATTAAAAGATAAGAAAGACTAGTTTGAAACTGAGGTTCAAATCTTGGCATAACTTACTTTTCTAAAGTCAGCATTCCTTTGTCTTAAAATATTGTAAAGTCATATCTCGTAAGTGAAACCAGTTGTTCCAAAACAGAGCTGACTCTTGTAGCTTAAAACTTTCATTTTGATCCTTGGCTACATTACACAGTCATAGAGGAGAGAAGCATAAAATATATTAACATTGACAGGAACTCGAAGTAAAACATGGCTAACTTTAGGCAATGAACGAACACACAGCGATACAGACCATGTTAGATAAGATGCAGAAGAAAGCAGGCTAAGCAGGTACTTACTTACTCCCTTCATGGCCGAGGCTAGGAAGGTTTTCTCCTTTATGCGAAGACGTTAGGAACACTGTAAATACAGTAGTCCTTAAGCATGAACTGTGAGAATATGAAGCCTGCCTAGCACAGACTCCAGAGCCCTCCCTCTTCCTCCCAAACAAAAACAAAGCAGAACAAAAAAAAAAAAAAAAGCTAGTGCACCTGCAAAAACTATTGCCGGAACTTTGTGGATATCCGAAAGCCAGGTTGGACCGGACAATGAAACACAGACATTCAGGGTGGTAGTATCATCTCAAGGACCTGTGACAGAAGTTCCAGATAAACATATGCTACCCAAGAAGGAAGTGTCACCATTCCAAATCAGACCCGACCTAAAGAAAAAAAAAAAAAGTAGAAGAAAGCAATACCTGATAGAACAGCGGAGGTGATGATGCTGAAGGATCATTTGTTTAATTTTTGAAAACAAAACAAGTTTAAACCTACCCTGTGTGCCTCTGAACTCTTCCGCTTTTCTGGGGCTCCCTTCATATCCAGATGCAGAGGAAGTGTTGCCGTTACCAGGAAGGAAGTTTTAACCAAGTTGATTAGACGTGTGATGGCTCATTTTAAAAGTGTCAGAAATGCATTTCCTGTTACAGCACACAGAGAGTGTTGGCCCAAGCAACAGCTCTGTTTTCCGTCTTTTCTTGAACTAATCTTTCAGAAATCGTGAGAGATTGTAAGACACATTAGAAAGAATGGAACTTCAAACCAAAAATACATACCAGGAGGCATAAACAAATGAAATATTTTTTGTAATTAGTTCTTAAGTAGAATCAAAGACCTCCTAGACACAATAGACAACCTGTTAGGTTGGGAAGACTTTTTTTGTTGTTGTTGAACTGTTGGAGAGGCATGGCAAGAGAGAGACGGACGGAGAGAGCTCCCGTCTGCTGATTCACCCCCAGATGCCTGCAATTGCTTTATGAGGGCCAGTTGAAAGCCAGAAGTCCTAGAGCTCAATTCGAATTTCCCACTTGGGTAGCAGGGAGCTAGTCACTTGAGCCATCACCTACAACCTCCCGGAGTCGGCTCTAGCAGGAAATAGGAGTCAGAACCGCATATCAAAACCAGGTATTACAAGATAGGACACAGCCATCCCAACCAGCATCCTAACTCCCAGGCGAGACACTGGCTTCAGAAGACTTTTAAGAGCTTATGGAATGTGATTAGACCTGTTTTCATTCAGCGTAACCGAGGAATGGGGAAGAGAAACTTAGTGACCTAAAGGACTGAGCAGACAAATGTAAGAGTTCCAAAGGCAAGATCTGGGAGCTTACTTCCTTCGTGTTGTGAGAGATTACACTGATATGAGCCTTGAAGGTAGAAGCTTACAGGGAGCAGTGATTAGTTTATTGTACACAAAATTGAAGGGGTTGCTTGTCATCCTGAGCCCTGTCGCAGCTTCAGGTAGATTGTCCCTGGCAGGTTGTTTCTAACGATAAGAGAACCCATTCTATATCACTGTGAGAACAGCTCTGTAGCTTGCAGGAGATCTCAAGCACTTCTACACCTCTGCTCCAAGCACCATTAGATTCTGAACCCTAACCCTTATCCCTAGTCCCTAACCCCAGTACCCTAATTGCTCCCTTCCTCCTCTACGGGCTCTCATGGATTCCAGCTGAGCTTCATTAGGGCCAGCAGGTAGGATGACCTTGACCTCATAAGTTTCTTGGGAGTATACAGTTCACAGTTCTTCCCAATTACTCTGGTGTCATGATCATTTGTTTTGGTCTATGAAGGACTGTAAAAAAAGTCCCCAGGCAGGTGGACTTGAAAGATAATGCACATTTTCCATGAGGCTTTTGAAATGCTCTTGTGTCTTCTTTCTCAGGGCCCCTGGGGCTTGACTTTTTAATAGTATTCTAATAGTTGACATCTGCAGGCAAAGTATGTAATTCAAAGGCTGTCTCCTAAATCTCCCAGGGAACAAAGGTGGATTCTCAGCTTCCCAAAGCATGTGGGATCTTCAAAGAGCACATAGAAAATGAGCATCATGGAAAAACTATGCATGGAGTTTAAATACTTTTGCTTTGACACCAAAATCAACTGATCTTTTAATTGCATTTCCCATGAGTCTTTGGAAGTGGTCCTGTGCAGCTCTTAAGAGGCTGGCCATTTCAGAAGCTTGACTCAAAGCTGGCCTACATGGATGGTTCTGAGGGTAGCCTGCTAACACTGTAGGCAGTAAACCACCATGTAGAAGCTTGCCAGGCTGTGTTTCACGCAGAGGTTAGGGGGCGTCATTCGCATGTCTGGGATGAGAATGACATTAGCTTGGCCAGCTCCTTTTTCTTGATTATTCAACAGGTTCTGTCCCTGTTCTGCTTAGTTTCATTTGGAGGCCAAGCCTCCATCTGGCAACACACATGAATACTGGAATGGGGCTCTTGGGTTTCCTTGTTTGTGAAGGAAGTATTGAGCTAGGTTCCATTATGCAAATCTTACTTGTCCTATGAGTACACTTACAAATGCTTTGGGCTTTATTGGTGTTTTGAGATGAAAAGTACCCTCCTCTTTCTCCAGTCTTAATATAGCCACTGAAATTTGACTGTATGTTGTCAGTGGTCCCAGGGGGAAGTAGCAGCCAGTGTCTTTCCTGTGGGGACACTTCCCTCAGGCAGAGGCGGTGTTTACCATAAGAATATTTTCTTGCCAGAATTTTTAGGGGTAGAAGATCTTTAGGTCTCAGCATCATCTGACTTTATTACATTTCCCCTTTTTCCCTTTTGTCAATCTCCAGCTACCTCACACTGTGTTTTACATACTGTAGACACACAATATTGTATTGGAAAGAAAAAGGATCCAGAATTTTTTTTCTTAAAGATTTTTATCTACTTTTATTGAAAAGGCAGAGTTAGAGAGAAGGATAGACAAGGAGAGATATGTTCCATCTACTACTTCACTCCCCAGATGGCTGCAATGTCCAGAGTGGGGATGGTCTGAATTTGGGAACCAGCAGCTTCTTCCAGATCTCCCACATTGGTGTAGGGTCCCTTCTTGAGGTATTCTTCACTTCCCTGGCCATAAGATGGAAAGTAAAGCAGCCAGAACTTGAACTGGCTTCCATATGGGATGCTAGGACTGCAAACATAGGATTAGTCTTCTAAGCTATCATGGTGGCCTCTGGAATAGCAGTTCCTTAAGAACATCCTTTTAGAGCTCCTTTGTCCCATCTGGTCCTCTAGTTTCCTTTGTTTTCCCTTTAACAGTGTTGACTGAATATGAAACCAAAGACCACCTGTCCCCTGCTTGTGAACAGGATGTCCCCTCCACACAATGGCTACCCAAGCCCACCCCAGGGACTCTGCCTTTGGAAGTATTTGCAGTTTCCCAGGATTGGGTATGCTTACCTACACTCCTCCTCACCTATCTGACTAGATTTTACTTTTGTATGCCATCATCCTCACAGAGAACAAACTGTCAACAGTAAGGAGGAATACGTTTTCATATTTTAGGGCATAGCAGTGAGTCGTAGGAGGGAGGACGGCTTAACAGGCCAGCATGGAACCAGCCCTGGGTCTTACGGTGGATGGGGCCATCATTGCAGAATCTGCTTCCCAGGCCTTTCTGTGAACATTACTTTTCCAAAGCATCCGTTCTCAGCTCAGCAGAGGCTATATCCCACTGGAAGGAGGCCAAAGAGGGGCCCTGCCTCTTCAGGTTCAGCGGAAGGGCACAGGAGGTAGGCGGGAGAGAGGCCTGAGCCACTCTGGCACCTAGGGGTTCCTGGAAGGCCACAGCCCTCTACGACCTTCTTTTGAGATAAACAGATGCAGACCTGGTAGGCCAGGCACCTGCCCCTGTGGAGATGAGCACCAGGTAGGTGGCCCTGGCCAGGCAGGTTGTCCTCTGACTACTTGGCCAAATATGTAAGAGGAATCCTCTTTGAGCCAAAACTCAGCCACCCTGTTGTAGGATTGGCCATTGTGTGGGTCTGTTTAGCCCTTAATTTTCTTGTGCAGATGGGGTAAAGCCCATGCCTGTGTCTCAGTGATGGCTGGATGCATCACTGCATGTGAGCAGTCTAGTGAAAGGATTAGTGTAAGGCAGCTAAAATCCAAAAGAAGGAAAATCATGTCAGTTGTCCCAGCAGAAAAAGAGATAGAGGGAGAGTGGGCTGTGTTCAAATCTAGGTGCTTCTGACAGGGCTGTGGCAAGAAGCCCAGCCTTCATTTGGTAGGAATTATAATACAGTTACAAAGAACCAGGGCCCACCATGATGGTTTAGTGGCTAAATCCTTGGCTTGCATGTACCAGGATTCCATATGGATGGCAGTTCTTCTCCTGACTACTCTACTTCCCACCCAGCTCCCTACTTGTGGCTTGGGAAAACAGTAGAGGATGCCCCAAAGCCCTGGGACCCTGCACCCGTGTGGGAGAGTCAGAAGAAGCTCCTGGCTTCAGATTGGCTTAGCACGGGCCATTGCAGCCACTTGGGAATGAAACAGCAGGTAAAGATCTTTCTCCTCTTCTCTCTGTAAATCTGACTTTCCAATAAAAATAAATAAATTAAAAAAGATAAAATAATGACAGAGAACCAAACTGAACAGTAGAGGAGTAGGGGAAAGTTAGAGCACACTCTTTGCTTTCTTTATGCGATGGATAGATTTGTTAAGGTGTCCTTTCCATACCAGCTCTTTAGTGTTAACCCTCCCTACAGTTCCCTGAGAAAGATGCAGCAACCTTGATAATCCATGGGGGATGCTGACTGTGGTAGTTGCTTTAGCAGAAGTTCAGTAGCTTCTTTCTTATGGTCCCTGATTCTTGCAGCTCTGGTTGAAACTTCCACCAAGGAATCAACTTCTCCTTACCAATGGTCTGTTCTCTTGGGCCTGGAGTGCTCTGTTGAGTCTGAGAGTAGCTCTTGTGCCTACTCTCCATGAGTCAAAATTTTGCTACCTGACCCACCTAACTAGAGATTGCTGAGAAATACAGACTGTGTGCTCCGAGGGGAGAGAAAATTGGCTTGGCAAACCATTAGTATGATGTTTGTTATAACATATTATAGATGCTAACTTCAGTACTGCTGTTCAATGAGTATCATGCTTTCTGCATTGTTTCTGTCATGATACATTCAGAATATGGCCCTGTAGCCTTAGGCAGTCACTGGTGTTGAGGTTGTG